GACATCGTGTTGTCACAGCAACAGCCACACACATCCCTAGTCCCCAATCAGGGGTGGAAAAAAACAAAAAAGAAAAGAGTGTTTTCCCTCGTCTGAGCTCCTGATGCGTGTTCCAGTGCTGATTATTAAAAATGATTTTGTGCCATGTGTGTGTGTGTGTGTATGTGTGTGTGTGTTGGTCCTGCATATGCAAACAGAAATTTTCCACGCTGAGTGGAAAAATGATGGCACTGGTTTGCATGATGCAGGGACCATCTGCAAAGAAAATCAGATGTAAAGTGAGGAGATGAATTCTGACCACATCTGAACCCGCTCTCATCCTGTGCACACATAAAACAATAGAGGACATGATGGTTCACTTCAGGTCAAACAAATGGACTCATGACCATGATGACGAGGAGGAGGAGGAGGAGGAAGAGCAACTAGTTCTCACCTCTTATCAAAACCAAGTGGAAGCGTAATTATGGACTCGTTTAAATATGTGGCACATTAAATAAATGTGTAAATCATTAAAAAATAAAAGGCGTTCTGCCCTGTTTGTTTAAGCTGGACGTATTTCAGGCGCCTCGGGRTCCAGGGCTCATTTGAATTCATGGATGTGGTCACCGGGAAAGTTCGCCCACAGGGTGTAACTCTCATCAGGGTGCCGGATCCTTCCACCACCTGACAGCAGCTCAGCTGGTCTTTAACCATCAGAGGACTTTCTTTGCTTTGTTCACATTCAGCTATCAAACACACAAGAGTTCTGACATTTATGTTGCTTTTTGTTGTTGAATCACCATTTTTGTCCACAAATTTCTGTTTCCAACATTTTAGTCCGACAAAAATTACGTTAATATCAAAGCTGGCATTAAATCCAACAGAACAATATGAAGAGTTTAAGGTGAATCAGACACAAATTCAAGACAAACAACCAGTTAGGGACAGTTTAGTGTTGCCATTTGGCCTAACACTTGTGTTTTTGGTCTGTGGAAGGAAACCGAAGTACTCAGAGAAAACCCACATARGCACGGAGAGAACATGCAAACTACCCAGAAAGGTATTCTAAGGCYGGGATTTGATCCAGCAACCTTTTTGCTGACAGGCAACAGGTCTACCAACTGAGCCATCAAGCTGCCCTGCTAATGGTTAATAGTGGAACTCATTTCTTGTTTATCGGATTAACTTTTTTCACRAACTTTAAAAACCGRTAGCAGACCAATTAAATTTTGTTTTGCCAAATTTAAGTCRGCTAYCAGCTAAATAACATGCTAACATGAACAGGTTTGTGTCAGTCCCARCAGTCTACAGCTTGAATGAGARGAAGATGTGCGACGCAGACTGAGTGACATTCATCTTAGCATTTAGCCGTTAGCTGTTATGGCCTTCACACATTCAATCCAAACTGACGAAATCGGCTCTGATTCCTGCATCTGAGTGATGAAAATTGSGTCATTTTTCACAGTTTTGAACCCTCTACCCCGTCTTGTTACAACCTGTCGGGAGATCTTTTCACCCTCCGCAAAAGACATTATTAAGTGGTTGGTCGGAAGTTTGTGGGCGCCCGGACGCCGCATTTTGCTTKGACTATTCACTTCCATAATCTGACTGTTGAACCCAGAAGCAGACATTTCTAAAGATATTAAAATGGCCAAAAACTCATGGATGGAGATAAAACAGGCATTGTGCACGAAGGAATCTGTCTGTAAAAAAAACTGTGGAGCTTTAAACAGGACAGGTTTGTGGACAAAGAACAGCAGGTATTGGAGAGTTTTTTTCCCCCTATAGTGTAGGCTCCAACAGGATGAAATCTTTTGTAGTGACATACGCAGTGGGAGGGGTATCCCAGGAGGTTGGTGCAGTGTCTCAGGGGCTATGAAAGGTGTGTGTGAATACCAATACTGAACAACCACGTGACCGCTTGTTGGYTGTTTGGCTTAGGATGGCGTATATTGGGCCTTTTAGTGTTAGCTTCCGCTAATTTTCTTACACGGTTAGTGTTAACGAAGCTATATTTTTAGCTGGCAGATTATGAGTTAGTGAAGCTAACTTTTTGGTTGGCTGTGCCCACCTCTGGTTATGCACATGATACAGCAAGACGTTTACTCTCAGAACATGTGAACGATTCTCAGCTACTACCACGTCAGGTTGTAGCTCAATATTTGTCAAACTGAACTACTCTTATGTTGGCTAAGGTTGATAAGCTGTGGCAGCCATATTGAATTATGTTGACTCCCAGAGTTAATCAGTTGTCACTGATCATTTTCTTTGCCGAGTGTTTTTCTCACAAACTCACCARGGACGCTTGTGAAGCAAATTATCTCAAACAGCGTGACAGAAGTGTTTTATAAAGCTCTGCGAGGCACATTTTAATGCTGCACAGAGTCACAAAACAAACAAGTGACTTCTAATTGCAGCTGATTTGCTTAGGTTGTCGCAGTATTGTTTGGAAAACAACAACAACAAAAATTGTTCACAACATAAAGCTGCTGCTGTCTTTCTGGGTTGTGAAACTTTTAAAAGTTATCATCAGGAAGTTTCACAACTTGTAAAAGACAGATTAGGAATAGAAAAAAGTTGATGCGTTATCTGTGTTGCACGATCTTTTTCAAAGCTTTAAAGGGTTTCTGGAGAAATCTTTGCACGAGAGAAAGTTAAAGCAAATACACCACTCAYGCAGCACCGTGTCTTAAAAAAAGACATAAATCTGTTGTGGAAATAGAAAAAAACTTACATGTTGGAAAAGTATTAGTACATGTAACAGCAAACTATATTCAGCATGTATCACAAAAATATGGCTCTGAAAAAATGACCTATACAGATGCTAATGCTCATAAAATCAGGCACCACGCTTTAAATGCATTCATAGCTATTTCCAGTATTCAAGGTATTTGCATATCTAATTTAAGATGGCTGCCACAGCTAATCAGATATAACAAACACCACCCCCCCGCCAAAAAAAAAGAAGAAAAAAGTCCTTAATTCAGTGAATTTTAAGGATATTTAACTGGGTGTGGTAATAACATCCTCAACCCTGTTTAACTCTGATAAAATGAGCTTAATCTCTGTCCTGTCCATAAAATAAGGGCCAAGGAATGCTGGGCCCTTATTTAATGGAAATTGTTTCTGCTGAGTCATGTTTTGTGAGCTCCAGCTCTGAAACAACAGACGGTTTGTTCTGGAGGCAGAACTCTGCAGCAGTGAGATCACATCTGATCGCTGGGAGTGTCCGTGTCGTCTGTCATTATGCTGTTTGTTTTGTTTTGTCTCTATTACGTGGAAATAATAACTAATTTGTTGCAGCAAAGTTTAACACGATGAGTCATGCAWTGACTTAACTTTCACTAAGCCTTTGAACCTTTTTTTATGATACAGAAGACTGGAACTTTTCAGTCAGCTTCCTGTCAAATTCTTTGATTATTGCCACAATTGAGTGTGATGAACAAAATAAAACAAAAACAACACATTTACCAAACTTGCAACTCACGACAAAAGGAAAATAAACATTTTAGTTACAAAAAATGATCCTAATCTGAAACTTTGGCATGAAAGGAATGTTTGGCATTTAATCATAAGCATACTTTTATCTGTACAAGGCAAAAAAATCTAACTTTATTTCTGAGAAAAGTGTATCGTGTTWTCTTCTGTGAATAAATATCACCTTCTTATGTCATTTGCTAAATGTTTGTGTTCCGACCCTGAGTACTTGTAGTCCTACACACCTGCACTTTTGTGACCTCTGCTCCTTGTAGCCTCACTGCTCCATAAATAAGCTTTAAATTATTTAAAATAACGCTTTAGTCTGTGTGGTTCTTATTTGAATGGCTGGCTGTGCCACACAACCACAAGACTTTCCAAGGGAGGGAAAACGTTTGTGTCAACTCATTTTTGATTTTTTGTAAAGATTACAAAGCAGATAATTTACTCAAAAAATATTAGACAAATGAAGCCAAACTATTAAGACTCTACACAAGCAATAACATTTAACGTGAACAGGTCAATAGGGATCAAAAATATTTAAATATAACTTTAAATAATAATTATGCAAGGGTTTATTAAGATTATTCGTATTTTAACTGATGACATTAAAAAAACAGATTTATTAATAAAAAAAACATTAAATTTAGTAGTTGCTTCTCTATTTTTCGGTCTTGCATTTAAAAAGCTTGTTGCTCTGCCGCGCATGCGCAGTTGGCAGGCACGCGAGAAAAACGGGAAACATTTTAGGAGTCCGTCACAACATTTTGTTCTTTAGTCGGGTTCCCCGTGAAAATAAACGGAAACGGCTCGTCTGGGTTACAGATTTTCGTGATAGCAGAACAGGCGTCGCTGTTTTTGGACATTAAAAACGACCTTCGTTTTGAAATCGGGAAATAGAGAGCGAGGTTTGGGCGTGTTTGAATCTGAAGCGCCTCGGCTGCAGAGAGACAGACTGCCTCCTCCTCACCCTCACTGGATGCTAACACGGTAGCCTCTGCATGTCGTTGCAGTCGTAGTTTCCAACTTCTGTTACAGTCCGCGGTTATTTTCGTATTAGTTCGGAGATAAAGAGAGAAGAAGATGGGATGTACCCTAAGCACGGACGACAAGGCGGCGCAGGAGCGGAGCAAGATGATCGACAGAAACCTGCGGGACGACGGAGAAAAGGCTGCTCGGGAGGTCAAGCTGCTCCTTCTCGGTAAGATGGATGGACAGAGAGGAACTGGGTGTAGTTTTTTGGAGAAAGCCCGTTGTACAARCTAATATATGAAGCAGAATTTTTTTTAGAGGTCGTTAACACGCTAGGATATCTATATTTTATATGTCTAAATCAAAGTTTTATCCCGCTGATAAAGCACACAGAGCTGCTGGGTTTTATATGAATGGCATGGTCAGCGTTAACAGGTGTTGTGTCGAAAAATGCGCCTCAGTCACGAAACGTATATAACGGCAATTAAACATTTTAAGAAGTATAGTCTGTATAATATTACTAAATATAGTTATTAATTTAACCCTATCGATTCTCAGTGTATTGGTGAACTAAACGGCGTTCTAATGTTTCTTCAGGAACGTGAAGGGGTGCGCTTTACAACAGGGGTGCATTTTTCGGCACAACACCTACACAGACGTCGTTAGCCCGAAAAGTTTGAGCTACTTTCATTCCACCTTATCTACTTTAGTGCGCAAATTAAATCGAGCACAATACATTAACCAGTGTCAGACATGAGCACCGTGAATAATCTCGCTCAGGCCGCTTTTTATCCGCCGGTAAGTCTGTAAGCTAATTTGTTGTAGGCTACTTTAGCGCCTCGGTGTTAGCATGGATTAGTTAGCCGCTGCTAACAATATCCATGCTGTTTTTTTATATGGACTGTTGTTGAGGTTTGTAATATAGTTGAAATTATGAGGTACAGAAAATCAATACGCATAATCAGTCTGGAAGACACAAGCAAACACATGTTTTATATAAATATATAAARAGTATGTACGCCACGTAAAAAATGTTGACGTCTGAACAAAGACGAGTTAATGTTTGACCGAGATTAGGTGATTACTGCTTGCTGCTCAACAAGTTTGAATGCCTTTAAACAGAAAATGGACTGCTTATTCAAGTATAGTAGTAATAATAATAATAATAATTTATTCAAGCACAGATGAGCGGTATAAACATTAACTCAGGTAAAAGTGTTTCTGATGGACTCTGAGTTAAAGTTACTGAGTTGGCACAGAAATGACAAAGACTTATTTTATCTATTTATCTTTATTTAAATGCTTTTTGTTCTTCAGTCAGTTTGTCTCCTTTCTAGGAAGTTTTGAGAAAGGTTTTATCTTCTGCTCATCAATCTGCTGTGTTCAAGGCACTGATTCTTTTTTATTTCTTTTTATATCTGCAACTGGTGTGTTTCTAAAACATATAAACTTAACATAAAACGTCAATAAATTTGTGTTTGGTTGATTGTTTCTTAGTTTTAGCCAATAAATATTATACCATTATAAATCTGTTAATTTCCCTTTTAAATTGTGCCACATGTGTAAGAAACATTTATTTGTGGGATGAGCAGTAGAGCTGTGTATGTGGGTTACGCACATGAAAAATGTACCAAATCTCTGCTAAACAACTTGTTTTGTTTTGAGCTTCTGGTACCCCCAGTTGCTGCCCATCAACAGCTGGTATAACGTTTTAATAAAGAAATAATCTTTCCTTACTTGTTGTGCTAAGTGCATTAAAATCTCAGATGTTCCAAACAAAGCAAAGTAAATTAAATGTTAGTAATATTTAAATATGGGAATAAGTTTATTATCAGTATTGTGTCGAACGTTTCATTTAGTTTTTCACGTTTCAAAGAAAGCAGGCTCTTCTGTCCACGGTTGGTTGGTGTCGGTGTAGATGGATGGGGTGGAGGTTGCATAGCAACCTTAGCAATCTGCATCTGTGGCAACTTTACTGACAACAGAGATGGATGACTGGATTTAGCCATTCAGGATACAAGCTGTTCTCTTTTTACAGCAGCCGTTTTGTGTGTTGCATTATTCAAGTTTGGTTTTTGTAGTTATTTTCTGCAGGTGCCACTTGTTTTTTTTTTTCTCTCCCTCCCGTCAGATACTGAGTGTTCAACTGCAGTTTGTGTGTGTGTGTCACATTTCAGATGAAGATTTGAATGTTAGTGGTCACAACACTCAATCATCCGGAGCAGATAGGAGTTTGGAATGTGGCTCCATTGTCCTGATCGTGATTGCACACACAGATTTGTTTCCTGTCTGTATTTGTGATGTTGTATATGTTCTTACAGAATCATTATGTTCCTCACAGCAGTTTGCTTCTCTGTCAGACTTTCAGCTCTTGAAATGACTGATTGGGATGATTGACTGTTGACGAGTTGCGTTGYACAAACAGTGCTGGTCTAGACATGGTTTAGAACAGATGCAGGGAAGCTGTTRGTGTTTTACAACATTTAATATATGGGATGACTAGGGCTGCACSATATTCTACATGTTTACTTCTATCYTGTGCTAATGTGAATTGCGTTTTACCAATGTGTTGCCTCTGTCTTAGTTTCTGTCAGGCTTGAACCATATATTATATATTTTTCTCCAGTTCCCTYCAAATTTGCTAATCTTCCTTGTTTTTGTCAAGATTCTTGTCGTCTTCCAAAGCTCGAGTATTCACGGACAACTCTTCTCTGAAAAAGTTGCCATCATTGTTCCAAAAGTTTCACAACAAAATGAAAGTTTTTTTTGTCGTGAAGATGCTCGCGGAAGCAACCCTCTAAAATAAAAGTCTTAACACGTGATCTTTTAGTGCAGTGTCTTATGGTGGTTTAAACCCTTGATGTAATTTGCTTCCTACATCGATGCTCAAACATATCGTGCAGCTCTGGTTTTTTACATCCAGCCAAATGAACACACTGAACATGAAACATTTAACTTTTCTGTTTTTATTTGCAAAATCTGGCTTCTAAAAAGTGCCCGTCAAATTTAGCAGCTCAACGAGCCACAAAGTTTAGGATTGCAATTTACTGGATTTTTTTCTCTCTCTCTCAGGTAGTAATAATACATCTGTTGCATGCGGCTGTTGATCATATGGGAAAATAAATTGCTAAACACTGCAGCTCACCTGGGAGCTGAGCGCCCCTGCAGAGGCAGGGTAATTAAAATGTTGTGTGCTCAGCTTAAAACACCTCTGAACCTCAGAGGGAGACGCCGAGCTAGTAGGTGGTGTACCAAACGCTCTAATATCAAATGCAGGCCGATCTTAGAGCCACACAGTTATTGTTTTTTTTACATATTGATGTCTTTCAGGTACAAAGCTGAAATGATAAGCTGATTATTGTATTTTGATTTCATGCAAATCTAATCAAAAGTCCATACGAGAGACATCTGAGTCCCGTCGGTCTGACAGAGGGAGAGATTGTGTTCCAGGGAAATGTAAGCTGTGTGTAATCTTATTGACACGAGGATGGAGTTGATTAATCCAGCTGCTCTGGGACTCCTCTAAACTGGACCTTAGACACCTCTTCACTGATCTCTGTAATAATATACCTTTTGATACTGTTTGCTTAACAAAATTCTCCAGAGTAAATCTGGCAGGAGTTGATCTTTTTTGTTTTCATGAGAGTTAAGTTTCTTCTCTGAACTGCTGACTCACCTCACTTAATTAAAATACTTGTTTTTGTTTCTCATAAGGGTTAAATATGTGATTTTTAATTTTAGATAGCTTACATTTTTTTAAACATCTGTAAACTGATGTTCTGCAGGGAGGAAGATGTGGTTTTTGCAAAAGTTTGACCTATTCTAGATTTATGTTAAGAACACAAATCAGAATAATGAATGCATATCACCACCTATCATTCACCTAATTTCCCTCTGGGATCAATAAAGTATTTTTGAATTGAATTGAATATCAAAGATCAGTCTGAGCAAATTGACAACTTTAAGCTGTACAACTGGACTCCAGTTCTTTGTTATTCTGTTTTCTATTTTGGGATCGTTTTTTAATCATAATTATATATGTATTTTATTCCACACTTGTTCCTAGCAGCAGTAAATGTCTCTGTATCTTAAAACTGTTTTAGTGCAGTTTTTATGTTGAGCTGATTTTCCTTTTTTCTCCAAAGGCCCATTTCTGTCTGCTTCAGTTTTGTAAAGTTTYTTTTGTTGCAGCTGCACCGATGATTAGATTTGTTCAGATTTTGTTTGGTTCTTGTAATTTGTTGCCGACAAGCTTGGTGAACTTACAGTTGACTAAAACACAAATAAACATTGCCTATGATGATCCATAAATAAATATATTTATTTTACAGTGTTGTTATTTGTGGGGTTACATGAATTCTGATTTATTTTGTGTCTGACATGTTTTCTGTTTCAGGCGCTGGGGAGTCTGGGAAAAGCACAATTGTTAAACAAATGAAGTAAGTGGTCGACACAAACACTCTGGTAATGAGCACTGAGTAATCACAGAGAATATGTTTCTTCCTACATAAAGCTTGAATGTGCAGCAGATTCCTGAAACAGCTGTGATTATTATATAAAACAGTAACACTGATGAAAATTATGTTTTTGTTGTGCCACATAACATCCACTCATCAGTTCACTGTGAAATGAATGAGTTCTCAAACATATTTTAATTATCTTTAATGACATGACCTTTTTTTTGTTAGCTTTTATTTCCAGCCTAGATGTTATTGTCCACATGTGGGGGGAAGACAGTGCTGTTTCCATTTTCAGTGATGACTAAATGTTGTGATATTAACTGAATGTAGTTTTTAGCTACTTTCAGAGAACAGCTTTGAATATGCAGTAAATACCTACCCAGTCAACACCAAACAGCCAAATACTTCAGCCACTTCACAGAACACTGAGTTACGTTCCTCAGCCATTGATGTCTCATTAAAATCAGTTCCTCTTATCACTGATTTTTACCACGTGTCATTTGATCTAATCATTTCTAATGATTGAAGAGAGCTGTAGTGTTTACAAACCAGTTTGTTTACCATTCAAACTCAATTCAATCAAACTTGTAGTTAAACAAATGTGGTAAATATTTTAAACAAATGTAGCATACTTTAAATTAATGCATCACCCGACATGCTGCATGCAGAGGTTTCAGACAAAGGAGTTGTGTGATCTGTTAGCATTCAGAGTAGGCATTGGGGATGACAGTCAGCTACTACCACACCAGCTCAGTTTCTGCAGAAATGACTCTGCCATGTTTGTTTGTTAATGTCTATTAGCTGTGGTGCTCATCTTGAACTGGGTTGACTCCAAGGGTTAATCAGTTGTAGATTTTATATCCAGTGATAAAATTCTCAGAGCTTCCTTAAAATCCACCCAGTGTTTCATGAGACATTTTGCTAACAGGCAGGTGATGATTTCTCTTGAGTGACGGTTACCATGTTATATTTTAGTGAAAAATTTTAGTTGATTTTTGAGGAAGAAAATGAGTGTTTTTTTATGTAACGTTCATGCAAACATGAACTTGTTTAGAAAAAGTTTTGTTGTTCAAACTAGCYGCTTCGTCAAAATGCTTTTGGACAAAAATATATCTATTTTATGTGCAGTATAATAATAACAAAACATTTCTATACACCTTAATTATGAACCAAAAAGCTAATTTTAAAATTTTCTCACTGTAAATGTGTCTTAATATTTGTTTAATTATTTGTTATAATAATGTTGCTTCTGCRGCCCCCTAGTAGTCAATTTAACTACAGTCCTTACATTAATGTAGCCTCTGCTCTCTATTTTTATTATTTTAAATTGAGTTAGTTGCAAAACTCCTTTTTATTTGTCTTTAGTCAAAATAAAGCAAACAGCTCGATCAAAACAAATCAAGCATCTGAGGTAAAACTAGTTGTTAATCCTGATGTTTTCCAGGATCATCCATGAAGCAGGTTACTCAGAGGAGGAGTGTAAGCAGTACAAAGCTGTGGTCTTCAGCAACACCATCCAGTCCATCGTCGCCATCATCAGAGCCATGGGTCGCCTTAAGATCGACTTCGCTGACGCAGGCAGAGCGGTGAGAGCGGGAATTTGACTTTTACTCCTCCTGGAGTGTTGTTTGCAGTTTGGTGCTAAAAGTTTCAGCTGCTTAGTCTTCCTTTCCTGATCATCYGTTTTTAAAATGAATCACTTTGAAGTGCTAACTTAAAAAGCGTGAGATGATGTTGGTTTAATCTTACTGAGACGCTCGGAACGTTTCATCAAAGCTACGCCTCTTTGAGACGTTTAATGTCCTTTAATGTTGCAGAGAGAAGTGACTCGTCGAGGAAGATGGTCTTTTTCCTCATCKAAAGAATAAAGGCTCATTCAGTGCTTCTCTCTGACCTCGCTCTGTTTGTGATTTGTTTTCTTCACTGTTRTCATTGATTTCTGCTGTTTAGCTTCTGACTTTATCTTTTAAACTCTTATTTGTCAAATCAAGGCTGAAATGACTGGAATGTGGAAAGAAATAGTTTGAGTCATACGTGACTAAAAGGATTTGTAGGCGGTTCCAAAAGTTGTTTATTTTGTGAAATTTGTCACGACTTCATTTGGTGCATTATTTTTAGAATCAATCACCTTCCCATGTGATTTACTTATTTTATCATCTTGTTTTAGTGTTAAAGCAGAAGTGAAACTGCTTTCTGTGCAAAGCTAAAACCAGGCCTTTTCACAAACTGTATTTTTTGTTCAGGACGACGCTCGGCAGCTGTTCACTCTGGCGGGTTCAGCAGAGGAAGGCTTCATGACGGCTGAGCTGGCCGGCGCCATCCAGCGGCTGTGGAAGGACGGAGGCGTTCAGGCGTGCTTCAGTCGCTCGCGGGAGTACCAGCTCAACGACTCGGCGTCTTAGTGAGTCAGACATGCTGACGAGTAGAGGAAAAACAGCAAGACTTTCACTTGTTTTTATTGTTAAAGGTTTGATTCTTATTCCTTGTTTTCCCTCTCAGTTACCTGAACGACCTGGACAGGATATCTAACCCTGCTTACGTCCCCACCCAGCAGGATGTGTTGAGGACCAGAGTTAAAACTACTGGTATTGTGGAGACACACTTTACCTTTAAGGACCTGCACTTCAAGTGAGTGGAACTGTTCTACATCTGTAGTAGTGATTTTGTTGCCCTTGATTTCAGCTTTGTTTCAGTTCTGATTGGTGTTTGTGCAGATGGAAAAAAATGAAGGATTTTGGGATCTTTAAAAGAAAAATCCAATTTAGTACCAATAAATGTATTTTGTGTTGGTGCTGATGTTTCATTTAGATGTAAAATGCCTGTGACATCAGAATTTTTGTAAAAATACAAATGCATTTTTGGAAAGATGACACCGAGAACATATTGCAAAATAATTTTCATGCTGCTGAGATGAACAGTTGTTGAGATATTTGCATGTGAAGTAACAGGAAGTGATGTCAAAGGGGAATGTCTGCATGAAATCAGTTAAACTAAAATGCTCAACACTGTGGAGAGGAATCTGATGTTTTAGATTAATTTGGAGTCGCTATCAGACGGAAACAAAAAAAAGTCAGAGTTCAAATCATAATGTTTCAATAAACAAAGATCAGTGAGTTATTTTTCTTAAAGGAGCTCCCCTTTGATGTCACTTCCTGTTTCTCTTTTGCCAAGCCAAGTTCAAAAGAAAATAGGTCAGTTATGTGTACAAATGGGTAAAATAATGTGTGGTATGCCACATTTCTTTAATAGAACGAAGTTTTCTTTGATGTTTTGTATCTGAAGGATAAGCATGTCACAACGTCAAAGTGGTGTGAGGTTGTTTACCGTTGTGTTTCTGTGACCTCAGAATGTTCGACGTAGGCGGGCAGAGGTCTGAGAGGAAGAAGTGGATCCACTGTTTCGAAGGAGTCACCGCCATCATCTTCTGCGTGGCTCTGAGCGACTACGACCTGATGCTGGCCGAAGACGAGGAAATGGTAAGTTCCGACCCTCAGCTCACACACGTGTGTGCTGCGTCACCGCTGACCTCCTTTTCCTCACCCAGAACCGAATGCACGAGAGCATGAAGCTGTTCGACTCCATCTGCAACAACAAGTGGTTCACAGACACCTCCATCATCCTCTTCCTCAACAAGAAAGATCTGTTTGAGGAGAAGATCAAAAAGAGRCCGCTCACAATCTGCTACCCAGAATATGCAGGTGAGTCACTCAGAACCCTTCATGCAGATCAGCTTGTTGTGTTTTTTAACGCAGATAAACCAAGAAGACATGAAGTTTTAAAGATCTGACTTAATTATTTAAATCCTTAAAGGTTTTAAGAACAATGTACTGGAACATATTGGCTAACATCAGATGCTTAGTCTTAAAACCCGACAGGTTCAAATGTCGCTGCAGTAGGAGTGAACAAAAGTTATATATTGGGGTTTTACCCTCAGCTGTTACGTCTGACACAGCTTCTCTTTCTATACTTCCTGTGTTCATCTCTATCTCAACGCCTCCAATGCAACACTTATCTTGCCGCATGCTGCTGTTTACAATAGACATTCAGAGGTGCAGCAAAGAAAAAGGTCTCCATAAAAGTCTTCTTGGTGGGTGTGACACTCTGAATTTTGCTCTGGCCATTTKAACTAGTGCTCATATGGAAAATTCATATAACAAATATAAAAACTAGTTTTTGGTACAAACAGGTCTACCGCCCAGCTCTGTTTTAATGTAGGTTTGAATCAATCAGCAAAATTTTAAATCTTTTTTTAGATGGTTTGATGGACTTTGTCCATCAAATTGTGCAGTAATGACTTGTCTTAGGTATATTTGAAAGCCTTTTTCTTGACATGAAAAGTGTTTTTTTTTTTTTTATCCTTTAGGCTCCAACACCTATGAAGAGGCTGCAGCCTACGTTCAGTGCCAGTTCGAGGACCTGAACAAAAGAAAGGACACCAAGGAGATCTACACCCACTTCACCTGTGCCACTGACACCAAGAACGTGCAGTTTGTGTTCGACGCCGTCACCGACGTCATCATCAAGAACAACCTGAAGGACTGTGGCCTTTTCTGAAGGTATGATTGGCTGTTAGACCCCTGAGCTGGACGCCTCCAGMGGGGTCCTGTCTCTTTCTAATCGTGTCTTGTCCTTTGTGTTCAGGCAGAAGTGACTTTAAAGAAGTGGAGTCTGAGTGGAGGAACCTTTGTGGACCCTGCTGAGAACGTCACCTTTAACCTCTTATTAACTTATGTTCATCTCTGAAGTGTGTAGGGAAAACATTTTGTGTAAAATATTTGTACAACAGTCTATGGCCAGGAATTTTTAGGAGTTTTTAAAATGTGTTTTATCATTATTATTTTAATTTTTTATATATATCTATACAAGGGGGACTTTCTTCATCCATACATGAACACTTTCGTTTGTAGCTGCCTTGCATGCCTTAGTTACAGTTTTTTTATTTTTTGTTTTTGTTTGTTGAATTAGGTCACACATAGTTGCCACCATCCAGCTTTCCAACAAGTCCCCTGATTTCATATCTGTTTCTTTTTCTAGTGACTCCATTTTTGCCTTTATTTTATTTTTGTCTTCTGAAACTACAAAACAAGCAAGACCAAGTCACTCTGCAGACCAATTCACTCTGACGCTGACAAACTGTGAGAGCTGTGTGTGTGTGTGTGTGTGGACGTGTTTTTGCTACATCGTGGGAACCATTTTCCAGAAAAAGGCAACCTCGTGGGGATCGACTGTGCATCATTGGACCGCTAATTACGGGTGGGGGGGTTAGGTTTTAGGACCAAGGTGTGAACTGAGTTTAGGTTAGTTTTAGGGAAAGGTCTGTGAGGTTAATTGTAGGGTAAATGGTCAGGGTTAGGCTATAAAATTACCAAAAGATGATTGGAAGTCGATCCATGGTCCCCACGGGGATATAAAAACAAACCTGTGTGTGTGTGTTTGTTTTGACTGAAGCCAGTTTGAGTGAGCGACTGTGAGCACAATATAAACAAAAGGGACTTTTATTCCTCTACTTGTCATCCTCTTTCAAAGTTTTATTTTTCTAAGAAACCAAAAAAGAAGCTAATCCTGATATGGAAGGAAAGAGTGCACAAACAAAACATTCCTGAGTAGAAAGAAAAGATGAAGGCAGGAGGCTTTGAGAGGACGATGGCAGATAGTAGATCTGTGTGTAGGTGTGTGTTCAGTGTGTAGACGGGCAGCTGGCTGGGTACAAGTGCACTGGTATCAATTAGAACCTGTGATGGTTTCAAGTTGCATATCTCCCCCCCCCCCCCCCCTTAAAACTCCCCCTGTCCTGTCGTTTCCAGTGGATGGGGACGTTAGTGAACTAATCTTCATGATTTCTGCTAATAAAAGAGTTGTGGTGGTGTAACCACCGCAACTTGCACAACAACCTGTTTTCTTTGTCTTTTATTAATCAAATTGTAACGRTCTGCTTCTTTAACGATGGTTTCTAATTTTTATTTTTGCTTGTTTGAAGTGGTTATGCTGTATAGTTTTGGACTTGAAAAAGTTGTCATTTGGAATTAAAGCTGAATAAAATTGTATTATTTATGGCCCTGATAAAAGAAATTAAACAATACTTTTCATTAGAATCCTTTGAAG